TGAATCTCTCCTCAAAGGCAAAACCAACCCTGAAAAGGGGCTTGCCCCCCCCCCCGCCTTTTACTGACAGAACCAAGCCTGGATTTGGTGGTTGCCTAGCAACAGACATGGGGGGAATGTTGCTTAAGCTCCAGGTGTTCCTTTTATCATTTCCAGTTTTTTAAGGCCCTCAGAGTATTTTTTTTTTTACATTTCACATTTTTTCTGCAAACTTGGGACCCTTTTCCAGTTTGTAGAAATATCTGTCTTGCCCGTTCACAGCTCCAGTCACTGGATTTAAGTATCGAAAGATTTAGCCAACTTCATTATTAGAATATAAATTTCCTAATCACTCCTCATTGAACTACATTACAAATCCCAGTGTTTTCCAGGAATACATATCATAGTTTTATTAAATTTTTATAAACAAATTACAAAACACAGAAGTGAACAAATTTGAGCAGCAAGATATAACATTGTGGATATAAGGTAAGTATGAGCATATGCATACATATTGGTGACAAGGTATTATAATTCAATTATAAAGCATTAACTTGTATTTCGCTTCAGAGATGTTTTCCCAATCAAATTTATTTATGTTAATTTTATCCAGAATGGGATACCATATATTTAACGGGTTATAAAATTCCACTTCATGTTGGTGCGTTGTATCATGTATAGAGACGTTTTCCAGCATATAGATATCCCATGTTTTGTCGAACCATTGTTGTACTGTTGGTGGTGTTTGTTGTTTCCACTGTTGAGCTATTACTAATTTAGCTGTTGTAATGAGAATGTTAATCAATTTTATTCTAATTGCAGGCGGGGAGTCCTTTGGCCAGCGATGCAGCAGTATTACTTCAGGATTTAACGGTAAATTATAGGACGTCAAGGTTTCAATTTGCTGAGCGATTTGTTTCCAGAATTCCTGGATTACTTTGCATTCCCACCAATTGTGAAAATATTTCCTTTGTGGGACTACAACTTTCCCCTTTTTCTCCTGAGGAGTCTAAGACCATTTCTCTTTTCACACACAGGGGTCCCTTTTGAGTTGAACCCACTGAATAACTAGGTAAAAAATATCTTCCTCTTTCTAGGAGTGATAATCCTTTTCTGTTTTGCAAGATTGGCAGTTTCAACTTACTGTCCAGTCTCTTCTGTCAAACCTAAACCCCAGTTCTGGAGACTGTGAATAAATAGAATTCAACTAGGGCTGACACTTAGACTTTAAGTTCTAATTTCTGAATTTTTCCTCAAATGTGTTGGTACACAGTCAGGGCAAGGAGCTGTGTCCCTTCCCTTCCCAAGTGAACTTGTCTGTTTCCCTCAGACTGACAGACACACTCCTCCTGACTGGCTATTGCCCAGCCAAAGTTCAAATGACCCCTCTGACAAGACTGACAGGACTTTTGAAAGCTGTCCTCAGCCAGTGCTGACCAATCAGAGAGAAGGGGGGGTGGACGCAGGCAGCAGCCTGTCAATCAAACTGGGCTTTACATTGAGGCATTAATCCCTAATCTCCCAATTCACTGCTTTTGATACACTAAACATCCTGATTTTGGAGGTCAGTATGTCAAGATGACCAGTATATGCCATTATCATTTCTTCAGGTATTTTTGATATGAGATAAATTTTAGACTCAAATAACTTAGGTTTCTTAGCTGCCCAGGCACTTTGAAAGTTTCAGTTATAAAATGATTTATTTCCAATTTCAAATAATCTGGCAATATAAATCAATTACATTATTATATAACTATTCTAAATATAATAAATTGGTTCACACAAATTTAATTTTATCTGTAGACTGGAGTTGTGGAAAAACCATGATTGCTTTACAACTGAGATTAAGATGGGACTGAAAGAGCCATTTTCAGATAATACAGTTATATTAACTTTTCTCCAAGCACTGCATTAACAATCTAATTACAATGACACAAATGCTAATCTATTCAAAGCAGAATCAGCTTTTCAATTAAAATCTCTTATTGCCACTTTTTCAATTTCTTATGCAATTCTTTACTCATGCCTTATAAATTCAATAAAAATAGTTTGACCTCTACAGTGCAATCCTAAATAGAATTACACTCTTCCAGATCCATTGAAAATAATGGTTATCACTCTGTTTAGGATTGCACTGCCAATCTGGCATTTACAGGTAAGGAACAGAAGCCTATAATTACAATAGCCTTCATTGCTTGATATGACTTTAAACCATTCAATTTTGTGTGAAATTTGCTTTGTATTCATGATATATTATATAGAATAATATATAAACCACTCTTGGTGCAGTAGATGTATCTGAAATGTTAATTCAAGATAATTGTTGAAGTTGTGTCTCGACATAAATGCATGACAAACGATTAAGAATATACCAGAATATTACTGCAGTCCTCAGGGGTACAAAATGTCTGTGAGAAGCTCTTCCCCCCAGCTTTAAGAGACTTCCATTGCCTTGGCATACTGATCTGACACTTGGAACAGAGCAGCTACTGCAAATCACACCATCTGCAGAGGAAATATCCCTGTGCTTTGACCAAAGAAATAATTGATCATCTGCATGGCAAGCTCCTTACAGAGTGGGGCTCATTTATCTGCTGCCAAGGTGATCAGCACCTTAATTAATAGAACTGCAAGGCTCCCAAAAGCGTGGAGCACAGAGTGTTCATCCCAATTTTCTCTGCCCCAGGGATATATCACCCTGACCTTGATAGCTCAGGCTAGCCCAATCTTGCAGATCCTGGAAGCTAAGCAGGATTGGTCCTGGCTAGTATTTGGATGGGAGACTTACAAGGGATACCAGGGACGTGATGAGGAGGCAGGCAATGGGAAACCACCTCTGAATGTCCCTTGCCTTGAAAACCTTACAGGGTCACCATAAGACAGCTGTGACTTGACAGCACTTTCCACCACCACCAGGGATATCTCTCGCTGCAGTCCATATGTAGCTTAATATCCTGGTTCTACCTCTGATACTTTAGGTAAAACTAATTTTTGTTGTTGTTTAGTTGCACAGGTGAGCCTGACTCTTTGAAACCTCATGGACCACATCACGCCAGGCCCTCCTGTCTTCCGTTGTGCTCCGGAGTTTGCTTAATTTCATCTTCATTACATCGATAACACTGTCTAACCATCTCATCCTTTGCCATCTCCTCCTCCTTTTTCCTCCAATCTTTCCCAGCATCAGGTTCTTCTCCAGTGAGTGCTCCCTTCTCATTTGGTGGCCAAAGTATTTGAGCTTCGGCTCCATTATCTGGCCTTCCAGGGAACAGCCAGGGTTGACTTCTTTTAGGGACTCTCAAGAGTCTTCTCCAGCACCATAATTCAAAAGAATCTATTCTTTGGTGCTCAACCTTCCTTATAGTCCAACTCTCGCAGCCATACATTACTACTGGAAATACCATTGCTTTGACCATATGGACTTTTGTTGGCAGGGTGATGTCCCTACTTTTTATTATGCTGTCTAGGTTTGCCATCGCTTTCCTCCCAAGGAGCAGGTGTCTTTTGATTTCATGGCTGCAGTCACCATCTGCAGTGATCTTGGATCCCAGGAACGTGAAGTCACTGTTTCCATTACTTCCCCTTCTATTTACCAAGGAGTGATGGGGCCGGATGCCATGATCTTAGTTTCTTTGATGTTGAGTTTCAAGCCCACTTTTTCACCCTCCTCTTTGACCCTCAGCAAGAGGCTCTTGTAAAGCCTCAACAGACAGCCACATTGCTTTCTTGCATTTCTATTTCTTTGGGGTGGTGCTGATTGCTGCCTCCTGTACAATGTCACAAACCTCCATCCATAGTTCTTCAAGTACTCTGTCTATCAGATCTAGTCAAACCTATTCTTCACCTCCACTGTGTATTCATAAAATATGTGATCTAGGTCAAACCTGAACGGCCTAGTGGTTTCCCTAACTTTCTTCAATTTAAGTCTGAATTTTGCAATGAGTAGCTCATGATCTGGGCCACAGTCAGCTCCAGGTCTTGTTTTTACTGACTGGATAGAGCTTCTCCATCTTTGACTGCAAATGATATAATCAATCTGATTTCGGTGTTGCCCATCTGATGATGTCTATGTGTAGAGTCACCTCTTAGGTTGTTGGAAGACGGTGTCCGCTATGACCAGCATGTTCTCTTGACAAAACTCTGTTAGCCTTTGCCCGGCTTCATTTTATTCTCCAAGGCCAAACTTGTCTGTTATCCCGGTTACTTTTTGACTTCCTACTTTAGCATTCCAGTCCTCTATGATGATGAGGACATCCTCTTTTGGTGTTAGTTCTAGGAGGTGTTGTAGGTCTTCATAGAACTGGTCCACTTCAGCCTTTTCTGCGTCAGTGGTTGGGGCATAGACTTGGATTACTGTGATGTTGAATGGTTTGCATTGGATTCGGACCGAGATCATTCTGTCCTTTTTGAGATTTTATCCCATTACTGCCTTTCACACTCTCTTGTTGACTATAAAGGCCACACCATTTTTTTCTACAGGATTCTTGGCCACAGTAATAGATATAATGGTCTTCTGAGTTAAATTCGCCCATTCCCATCCACTTTAGTTCACTGATTCCCAAGATGTCAATATTCAGTCTTCCCATCTCATTTTTTTACCACATCCAACTTACCTTGATTCATAGATCTTACATTCCAGGTTCCTATGCAGTATTGTTCTTTGCAGCATCGGACTTTCCTTTCACCATCAGACACATTCACAACTGAGCGTCCTTTTGGCTTTGGCCCAGCTGCTTCACTCTTTCTGGGGTTACTGACAATATGCCAACAGTTACTTGTACCTGCCCTCTGCTCTTCCCGAGTAGCATACTGGACACCGTCTGACCTGAGGGACTCATCTTCTAGCGTCATATCTTTTAGCCTTTTGTTACTGTCCATGGGGTTTTCTTGGCAAAGATACTGGAGTGCATTGCCATTTCCTTCTCTTAAATTAAATTAAACTAATTTAATAAACTAAAAATCACCCAAATACACAAAATCTGATCTCTAAAAATTGTACATGAAAAGTATAACTAAAATCTTACTTTGCTTCCAATGCCAGTGCAATGATTCCTGCAGCCATAGGTGCAGAGGCTGATGTTCCTGTGTGGCTATCTGTGCAACGCTGTCTCAAATCTGTAGTGACCTGAAGAAAGAGAGAGTTTGTAATTCAGATCATGGTCGCAGGCATGAAAATATGTTCCAGTTGTCAAAATTACTTATGAGTGGGTCAGGTACTGAAGGCCAAACTAAATGATATGTTTGACATAAGTTGGATTGCAATTCCTTTGCAGTGATATGTGCCATCAGGGAACAACTGTCCCCAGGCATTTCGGGACTTCATTCAGCTTGGGACTGTGGTGCCAGGCCAGGAGAGGCTTCAGCCTTTCCTCCTGCACTATTTCCCTGAGCCAAAATAGCTGTAGTTTGCTCTGCTGTGGAGCTGCATGTGTACTCATTGGAGCCCCACATTAGAGCAAACAGAACCCTTCCATAGCCATTTTGGCTTGGGAAACCCTCCTCCTACTGTACCATGCTCCTGAACAGAATCGGGCCTTGGCATATTTGAGAATGATCGCTCCCTGATGGCACATATAACTGCAAGTCATGCCAAACATGTCATCTACTTTGACCATGAGTGGGTAGCAGGGAAAAAAAGTATAACCTTTACTTTGAACCTTTTGAAGCTTGAGAATATCTGAGAACTATTTGCTTCACAGTACTATCTTCATTCTAACAACAGGAGTAGACACTATGTCTCAACTACACACATAGAAGCTCAGTAAGAATGAGTATACTGGTCATGTTCTCACTCACATCTATCTGTCCCCTTGACCCTGCCTCCTGCTTATATGCATTTGCAGTACATCAGCACAGTGCTTACAAGCTGAACATATGCAGGATCTGTGCTCATGATTGAGAATGCTGCTTTTCAAGTATTCTCAATCACAGGAACAACTTGTACAGACACAGGCATTACACCCATGTGAGGGGAATGGCAGGAATGAAGCTTGCACACTTGGTTACAAGCACCCCCTCCCATGTGTGTGTGTGTGGGAGCAGTACATAGATATGCCAGGTGTCTAAGGCCATTATGCCAAACAACCGTGTATAAGTTTAACCTTGTGTGTATGGTTTTACTCTCCAAGACATAGCCTCCAAGACATAGCCTATCAGGTGTTTTCTGTATTCGTGCTGAACATGTTTTAAATGCATGTTTAAGTGTGTCCAATATATGATGAAAGTGTAAAATATGATATGGTCCTGAAGAATTAACAGATTAAAACTTTGATTGGAAAGTAGGTGTGAGATGCAAAAAAGAAAAACCTTGTATTGAAAGGACCAAAAATTGCTGAGCGGCTCAGTCTCATACTTCTACCTAGAACAGCAGCAAGGTAGTATCATTATGGTCCCAACCAGTAACACTTTGTTTTCACATTGGCAAACTAATCCTTCCTTTTCTCTTTATATTCTTCTCTTGTTGCTTTAGTTTGCAAGTCTGAATCTTACAGATGTATACTGCTTACCAACATAACTATGCATTGAATTTTAAATTATACGATCCTGTCTGAAAGATTATTTTTATCTCAAGAATAAGATAAATATATAAATAATTTAAAATAGTTGCTGGCCCAAACACTGAAATTTTAGATAGGCTCTCTCCAGTCATTAACAGTGATTTAACAATAACCCTAAAAATTAAAATATTAGGTTGTATCCTATGTAAAGCACTCACAGAGACAAATCTTCTCCATCTTCCCTTTATTGAGAGAAGGGATGGGCACGAAGTAGCTCATGAACCTAAATCCATGGCAAAATTGCCTAGTTAGTGGTTCATGAGCCGAACTGCCCATGTCCCTCCATGTGGTTTTTGGAGGTTCAGGTGGTTTGTGGTGGTGCGTGCTGGTGGCGTCCAAGGCAGACAAGCTGGTGCAGATCAATTTGATCATCAAAGCTACAGGGGGGATGGACTTTTGCAGCCATGGAAACACCAATAGTGGCCCTCCAAAGCACAACTGGCAGCGCAGGCCGCCAATAAGAGAGCTCCCATTCTGCTCTATGGGGGGCATGTACAGGGCATCCTGGGTAGGTCTGCTACAAGTTTAATGCCTCTGGCTTGCGGGGGTCCTGTTATATACACTCCTGGACTGGTGGCTGTAATTTCCCCAGAGACCACATTCCTGGGGGTACCAACATTGGGAGTTTGCTACGCCACTCCCCAAAGAAAATGCTCACCAAGCATGGAGGGTAGGTAGAGGGGCATCCTGGGGAGGTCCACTGTGACTCTAATACCTCTAGCTTGCAGGGTGACCATTCAACACACTCCTATATCGGATTTCCCCAGACAGGACTTTCCTAGGGGCACCTGCTTTGGGGGGTTGTAACTCGGCCCCCATAAATCCAATCCTCACCAAACTTGGAGGGCAGGTAAAGGAGAGTCAGCTGGAGACTTGCTGTGAGTTTGGCATCTCTACACCACAGAGAGGCCATTCTACCACATCACAAATCTCACAAAATGAATTGGTTTGGTAAACAGGAAGGTTTGTGAAGGTTCATGGTTCATGCAGCCCCTCAAACCACAAACCAAAATCAACCTCAATTTTTCTGGTTCCTGCCCATCCCTAATCAAGGGTGCCCTGTTACTGAAAAGGCAATGCTTGGAGTTGAGGGATTCCTATGGACAAAGTGCCATATGGTGACATGGGACGGCAATATAAGGAAGAACAATCAGGCAGAAGCTCCCCTTCCCTTGTTCCTTGTTGATTTCCTCCAGCAACAATTCATAGGATTCAATCTTTACAATCCCATCCAAAGATATGCCAGAGAGAAAAATATATACAAAACCATGACCACTTTTCTCATACGATTTTATAGAGAAAAAGTCACTAAAATGTAAGGATGAAAAGACAGAACATAGTGACTTATTCCAGTAGTAAATGAAGTTACCCAAAGGAGTGCTATGCAGTGTTATTAGTTCTAAGATAAGTATGTATAATGATCTTTTATAAAACACAACCCCAGAGAACAATGTAGAAAGCTTCTGAAATAATAACATGAAACACCAATTGAAAAGATCAATGCTGCTGCCAGAAGAAAGTTAGCAGGCAGCCAAGAAGGTGAAATGCCACAGAAGCTGAATTATGCATATGCTGGAATAACTTGGAAATCAGAATACAGCAAGCAGGAAGGGAAAATGATGTGACAAGCAAATTCTTACTTTCTCAGCTATGGTCAAGAATAAAACAAGTAGCTTATAACAAAGTTAATGCTTTTGCATTACGGACCTTTTTGCACAATATTGATATTAGTCAGAACATCACCTTTTGTCTATTTATCATGGGTTTGGCCTTAAATTCCGGGTTAAAACATTTTGCCACACTGAATCTTTGCAAGTAAAGGACAGAATGCTTTGAACATCCCAGGCCAATAGCAAAACTTTGTGATGATGATGGGAGCTAGAGGTACACAGAACTCTATTGTGTCTACATCTACATAATTGACTCATTTTAATAAAATGTAATTGAAATTCAAGTTCTTGCCATTCATCCCACTGCCTATGCATTCATTGACCAAAACACTGGAAGGCACAGCACAGTAGGTGTACTTCTTACTTAGAAGTTAGATAAAATACTGTCTAACACTATCCTTTAAGCTAAAGATGTGGGATATTCCTCATACCCTTGGCCAGAACCTTGGAGAATCTCCATAGTTAAGACAAATAGAGTGCTAAACAGTCTGATGTTAGAAAAACTATTCACAAAAGTCCCATGGGTTTTTACAAATAACAGCAGTCAGTTCAAAAGGAGGCTGTCACAGGGGTGGGCAAATTTAACTCCTTCCTTCCTCACTATTTTCCTGACCAAATTGGACCTCTGGATCTCTTATTTTTCCCATTGAGAGACATTCAAGCACAACATAATAACAATATTTTCCCTCTTCCCCACAGTTGCTATTTGCACTGAAAAAAAATCTGTGAGGGATCCATTCGTAAATCTTATAGTGGCATATCTATTTTGTTCCTTAGCTGGAAGCACAGACTCATCAGAGGCAAGCCAATCAAGTGAAAAATACAGAGAACAGAGTGAACCTATAGTATAATTTTGTTTGTTTTTGCTGTCAAGTTACAGCTGACTTGTAGCAACCCCATGGAGTTATCAAGGCAAGAGATGTTCAGAGGTGGTTTGCCATTGCCTTCCTTTGTGTTGCAACCCTGGGGCTTCCTTGGTGGTCTCCCTTCCAAATACTAACCAGGGCCAACCCCAATTAGTTTCTGAGATCTGATGAGACTGGGCTAGCCTGGGCTATCCAGTCCAGGGCTATGGTATGGTTTAGGCTCTCCAAAACAGAACACTTTGGAAATGGAGATCTTAGTAAAACTTGAATTGCTCAGTTGCCTGCTACTATGGCAGGTCCATGACAACAATGGCAGCTGCATGACAACAAACTGGAATATTGTCACTTGTTCAGACAATGTAAGGTACTAGGGAATGACTTTCTATGCAGTTTGGAAAAAGTTAGTTAATTATTCAGGTCAAGTGTCCCAGTTCCAGTGACAAAGTGTCTGGAACAAGGGAATAAACAAGCGAGTTTAGCAGATATGCAAGTTCAGCAGCAGGGTGAGGATGTCAGGACACTTGTCTCTCCACATCCCTACAAAGCATAAGGATACTTTCCACAAACAGATCTACAAAAATAGGAATTTTATAGAAAAGGAATTTTTTTAAAAGCAATTCTGAAGGTAGAATGCTAGCAAGGGGTTGGAGGTTATATAGCATATTGCACTGAGTGCAACATGTATGACTATCTGCCAACTGGACAGAAGGTATGGGTGTGTGCTCAGTGCAAGGAGCTCCTGGTCCCCAGGGAATGAGGTGGCTGACCTGAAAAAGTAGAGACAGTCAGGCACACAGATAAGACTCTCGGGGACTTGTTAGACGTCCCACTCTAATGGAGGCAGTCAAGCTGCTGTCAGGGAGCATGAGGGTCAAGGAGAAACAGGGCACCATGCTGAAGAAAGGGAGAATATTCCCTCAGAAGGGACCCCTTCTACAGTTGGTGAACAGGTATCCTTTCATACCAAGGAACCATCCCTAGCCAGAGGGAGAGAGGAGCACTCTTGGTAGTTGATTATTTTATCTTTAGGCA